GAATTGTTCTTGCAATATCCCATAGCACATGCCCCCTTGCTGTGAGCTGATTTCATTCCAAGTTTTTCAGATTCAGCTCTTAAGATAGTCAATGGCTTGCCATCATTACTGCAAAGCTTCTACTATGTTAGTGTGTAGCTTTGTTTGTTTTCTACACATCAGAGTCCCTGAGGTGAAGTGTCTTTTTGGCTGGCAAGGGGAATCGTGTAAGAGAGAAGAAGACTCCATTCTCTCTGTTGGAGAGTTAACTTTTTCTGGCCTAAAGCAAATCACCATCTTTTTGTCAAAAGAGGAAGAGAACAGGACCAGCTACAAGGATTTGTGCACCATTCACTCTGTGAAAGACAAGTCTAGATCTGGAGTTTCAGGGTATATTTTGATTGTCGTTAAAATTTGACTTTTAATTCTTCATTCTCTCTTCTTGTGTACCTCTAGGTTACGGTACCGGGGATATTTTGGAGGTGTAACTGCTCTAACAAGAGATCAGTTTTCCAAAGTGAATGGATTCTCTAACAACTACTGGGGTTGGGGTGGAGAAGATGATGACCTTCGAATCAGGTAAACAATGAGAAATTGGTTTAAAAAATTTCTTAAAAATTGGTGTGACTTCATGCCATGCTTCCAAAAGTAGAACACTACAGGGGCCTTCAGTTCCAAACAGTATTGCAGTGGGGATTTGAAGTGCAAGATCCAGTTCTGTGAGCAGTTTCCTCTTTGCAAGGGTTAGGCATGCCTGAGACATCCTCTTCCTGATAGCATTGTTGATGGTTGGGGGTGGGTTAAGGTATTTGCTTGGTTTGTTTTGGCTTTGTCTCAGCCACACAGTATCTGTACTCTTGCTTGGAAATTGGTTATAATGGAAATAATGAGATTGAATTTGGAGTGTGGTTTGCCAGAGACACAAAGATATTCAGTTCCAGTACTTTGCAAGTGTGAGAGTGTTTTGGTGGGACTGGGTGTTTTGCATTCACTGACTACCATGATTTACTCCGGTCAGGGCTTAGTTTGTATGTGGGTGCTGTTGATTATTGTAAAGTTAGCAAATAATTTGAATTTTAGAAAGGCTGCATATATCCTTTGCTCTTGTTAAAACTGGTTTTGCAGATGTGTCTGTTGAAGTAGGGTGAGTTTGTTAGCTGAGAGATGTTTAGTGGGGCAAGGAAGTCAGCAAAACTTACATTGATCTTTTGCGCTGTGCCTAAGAAGAAACCTCTAATCCTGCACTGCTGTTGGTGAAGGGGGGGAAAACCCCCACAAACAACAGAAAAAAACCCCACAGCCCTTCAAACTCTGCTGGCAGAGTTGGTTTGTAACCTGGGTTACAAACTGTCATTCTTAAGTGGTTATCCTTTTCAGCTGATTAAGTGTTGGGGACATAAATGTGGTATCCCTGGTGATGTTACATAATTGCACAGGGGATCAAGTGTGTTAAAGTTAGGAACTTCCAAATGAAAGCTTTTCTTCTGTGTCAGTTTAGTAATTAGTCAACTGTATCTCAAGAAATTTAAAAGGTCTACTGGAGACATGGATTTCCATCCCTTCTTAATCACTTTTTTTCCTTCCTACCCCTACCTAGACACACCAGCTTCTCAGTGACCTCTTGGGAGCTGGCTTTTATCGTGGGTGGCTTGGTACCATCTTATTTCCCAGCTTCCCGTGGGTGACAGTGGTGTTTCAGATATTCCTGTGGGCACTGGAGAAGCAGCTGTGCAGCAGACCAGCAGGACTTACTGAGAGTCTCTATGATGTTTTCAAGGCGTTGGAATTGAAAGTGATGCTTGTGCGTGGCACCTCTTAACTTTGCAGCTGTTGGTCTTGGTGTGGAAACCAAGTGGTACAACACAGCGTGTGCACTGCAACTTCTCGTGCCTTTCCTCTTGGGTGGGTCTTGGGCTGGGCTGGAGACAGTTTGTAAGGGCAAGTTTGCCGCCTTGGTGGGTTGCGCAGAGACATCCTTGGAGCCTTTCTGAGTGAAGTCAGCAGATGGCAGCATCCCTTCAGTGCTGTCAGAACTCAGGCCTGGAGGGCTCTCGGGTCCTACTGTGCTGCCTCCAGGCCCGTCCTAAGGCATGCATCACCAAGCGACTTTTCAGATCATTTGTTGTAGTTGTTTCATAATTTACTGCTACAAAGTAATTTGAAATCTGAAAGGGGCTCAAGTTTTTTCAAATCTTGGTTTCCTATTGCTGTTTCAGCTGCTGAGTGACTAGCAGAGGTGGACTATTCCTTAATTCCATTGTCATGATGTAAACCCTTTCTGCTGTCAGAGCAAAATTGTTGTGTTCCACAGATATGTTTAAGGTCAAAAGCTCCAAAGAAGTGCCTGATGTCAGACACTTAAATCCGTGCTTGGGGCTCAGTGTTTCTGGCATTGTTCTCAAAGAAATTTTCTTCATGTGAACAAATAAGAATTTTTGCAGCCATTAAAGAAGAAAACAAGCTTTTTTTTTTCCCCCCTTCTTTTTAAGTGGAGAACTATTAAGTATGGGGGTTTTATTGCAGGAGTTGAGATAAACTTGTTGCAAAAGGTGTGGAAACTTGCTACAGAGCAGACCAGTCAATACTAATGTAAACATACTCTGCTGTATAATGTGTGCCTAAGCTCTGTGTGATCTCCACTGTACTAACTACCTGCTTCTGTTTAAAAGAAAGGTGTGTATGTCACCCTACCAAACCTTTTCTCCAGAAATGCAACTCTGAGCCTCATTTTCCCGGCAAAATGGGTTCTAGAAGAGATGCAGATGAGTTTTTATGACTCTCTATACTTCCTTCCATAGCATCTACAAAAGATGAAGTCTCCAGTTTTTTTGTTTTTTTGTTTTTTTTTTCCTTAACAGCTGGCTTATAGCTGTTGTCTTCCTCATACCAGTATTGCTTCTTCCAGGGTTGAGTTGCAGAAGATGAAGGTGGTGAGGCCATCTGCTGATGTAGCCAGGTACACGATGATTTTCCACAACCGAGACCATGGCAATGAGGAGAATCGAGAGAGGTGAGTCAAGAACAGTGTTCCACCTTGCGTTGTCCCAGTCTGTGTCTGGGAGCCAGGCACCTGGGGGGGGAACAAGGTCTTTACTCTAGGCCAAATAGGCATTTTGTGGTACCCAGGGGCTCTGGGGGCCACCCCTGTGACAACACTGTTCACAGCTGGCAGTTGTTCTGCACCTGAGATCTTTGTAGAACTGACTGGGTGGTGTTCCTTAGAAACTTCCAAAGTTATAGTTATATGGATATGATTTCAGAGATTAAACCAAAGCACTTTTTTACTCCATATCTGATTGTCTGTGTTGAGGACAGGAAAAACAGGACTTTACATTCCCAGTAGATAGGTAATGGCAGTAGCTGTTACTACTGCCAAATTTACTAGTTAGTGGGAAAGAGGTCAAAACTCCTCTCCTGTGCATATCGATGAAGATTTTTCTCCTCTTTCTCCTCAGAATGAAGCTTCTGCGTCAGGTATCTAGAACATGGAAAACAGACGGGCTGAATTCTTGTTCATACAAACTGCTCTCAGTGGAACACAACCCATTGTACATCAACATTACAGTGGACTTCAGTGTGCAGCCCAAGGTCTCATAGGGGCGAGCACCACACAGGTTATAGGAAATGGCAACAGATCTTATTTGTGGCTGCTGTTAGAGCAGAGGGCTTCTGGCACTCTGTTTGGAAGAGTGCTTCAGTAGCAAAGAAGAAAGTAAAGTGTTCCTTCACAGCATCTAATTGATTGGTTGAAAACTTCCTTTTGTGAGGACTGGAGCTATGGACTGACCTGAGGGACAGGTCCTTCTGTTCTTCTATGCACTTTTTGCTGGGATATTTACAAAAGTGTCCTTGTTTGGGCTGGTCCAGTGAAAGGACTTGAACTAAGTCACTGAAAAAAATTTTGATTTGCAACTATTTCTAAACTTTTCTGTGATCTTATTAAAAGCACAAGAATTCGTCAACAACTACAAACTTAATAAGAAAAGCTAATTTTTTCTAGCCTGAGTAAAAACTGCGTGTGAGGCAAGGGCAATAATGGTAATGGTCAAGGAGATGTTAAAAATCTCTCAATAAATGCAGTCTGCTGAACTCCACAGTGTCTCTCATCCTTCAATCTGCAGCATCCCCTGCTGAGGGACTGTGGCAGTGATCAAAATCTCGATGCTGCAGCAGGATGTGTGTTATTCTCCGGGGATCTGGAAGGAAAAGCAGTAGCCAGCTGTGTCAGATGGAGAGAAAATCCTCTCCACATTTTGGGCCATGCTGTTAGTAGACTGTGTATTTGTATACATACGCAGGCTATTATTATTTTTGAGTCTTGCTGAAGAAGACAGGTGAAGGATAACTAACTGTTCCACTGTGCTACAGGATTTGTGCTAAAATCTTGATTAGAGCACTTGCCTTACTGTATTATACTTAACTGTTTTTATATGTAAATGTGAAGCCAGGCTCAAGAGAGTTTCTTTTAGGACATATTTCAACTGTAGAGAAGACTGAAGCTTTAAATGTTTTTTAGGTGTAGTGGGATAGATGCAGCTTTTCAGTGAACAAGAAATTTTTTTTATCTTCAAGTAACAAGCAGAAATACCCAGTGTCCTGCTCTCAAAATAACTGGACCTGGCAGGCAATGCTACAGACTGACTGGGCAGACAGAGAAAGTTTACAGCAAGGGCAAGGGGCTTGGGCAGAATGTGTCAGTCTCAGGTAAGTACAAATGCATTCCTGCCAGGGTCACAGCTCCACTGTTGACATGTTTTACTTAGTTTTTCCTCTAGTATTTAATTTTTAGAAGTATTTTATGTTGAAGACTGCTCAACCTTGAATGATTATTCATATCTGAGCAACAACTGAAGTACTAGATTCATTTCCCTGCTCTGAGCAGGAGGTTACACTAGGCGACAGCCTCAGGTCCCATTCAGCCTGCATTACTTACAGTATAGCTGTAGCATAGCTAGAATAAAAACATTTAAACACTGATGGATCAGGCCAGAAAGAAAAGCAGGGACTTAAGCTCCGGTTTGTTTGGTTTCAGGGCAACTTTCTCTTTTATTACACTCTTGCTTAATATTTTATAAAACTCTTAAGCCTAACACCGAACTCAATTTATTTTACGCAAATTCACAAAGGATATTTACAGAACTGTGACTGGCTTCAACGCTTTTGCAAAATATAACACTTCAGAGGCCATTCTGACAGAATGGCTTGCATCCTAATTAACACTTAAGTACAAAACAGGACAGAGCTATCCAGTTATGGAACAAAGGTTCCAGAAACCTTGGATCAGCTTACTGTCAAGGAGACTTGGCTCAGTAGTTAGTTTTACAGTGACGTGGACAATTTTTACAGTAAGCCACAGCCTGCTTATTAGCTGTCATATCCTATTCCTGAAGCCTGTCCTTCTAAATCTTAAACAGTTTGAAGAAAAGTGAAATGCATGAAAGGCAAAAGGATTAGTCTCAGGTGGTGCAGACTGCACAGGACAATGGGAGGTAGCAGCTGAATGCCCAGGCTGCACCCAACCTCTGCTTTTGTTTTCAGTCTCTTAAGAAAATGGGCGAACATATCCAATGTCCACAGTGATCTTGGTATAAAGAGGATGCTTTGTCCTGGAAAGGAGCTTGAATTGTAATGAATTCATTCCATCAGCTTTCCATGTTTTCCTGGTGTTGTGTTGAGAAGTAGGCCTGAGGAAGGAGGAATACCTGCAGTTAGAAGAACGAAGGCGACATTTGCAGCTGAAGCTGCAGAAGAAACAAAGAGGATTCTAGAGGGCTCAAGGGGGTAGCAGAAAAGCCCTGAGAAAACTCTTCCCACATGATACAGAATAAACAGATTACAATAAATTCACACTGAGTTTTCTGAACAAGGAAGACAATTTGGACTGGACCCTATTCAAACAGGGAGACCAGTGAGGTGGCAGCTACAGTCTGCCAAAGCCCAGGAAGCTGGCAGCTGCTTAGAGAAACCTGGGAGTGCAACACAGAGGCTTGCAGCAATGGTGTACATAGGCTGCTGTAGGTAGGTTTTTAGACAGGGTTGTTATGGAAACCTGAGTTTTGAGATGATAAAGGGAAATCTGCACTGTCCGTATGAGAAGCCTCCACCACACTTGACCCAACACCCTCCTCCAGCTCTTCTATATAAAACAGTGTTAGATAAAGTCTGTCATAGCACCTTTGACATGTCTTCAAGCGAGAATACTGCTTTCCACTATTTTAATGGCACATTGTAACTCCACACAGATTGAAGAGCAAGTTTTTATTATGGGGAAGTTGTAACAAAGGGCCTCTTCAAAGTGAACTCTCTCTATTTACAAGACAGGCAGTATTTTTTCCTAAAGTTTTACTCCCTGAATTATTTGGTGCTTAAGTCTGACATGTGTTAGCTTCCTAGCTAGAATGTGTCTTCACAACAGGAAAAAAAGGTAGGAAACGAGGAGAAACCCTTCACGTGCAAAGACAGGAGACGAGTGATTCAGTTGAAACTGGCTGGGAGCTGCTTTTAAATAGCCTCCCTAAAGCAGAAGAAGCAGCAGTGACATGAGGTATATTTACTGCCTGTTCTGGGGAAGATGACAGTAATACTCCCCCTGCTACAAGGCAAAGAGTAGCCCCCAACCCAAACAGTTACCTTCTCCAAGGCTCTTGCATCTCTGTGTCTTCCTCGTAGTTCATCACTTTGTAGCGTCCAAGGTGAGGTGGTGTCCGGACTATTTTCATTCCTGCTAACTGAATCCTTTAAAACAACATATAAAAATATTTGCTTAGGCATAAAGATGCTGTTTCTAGACTTAGTTATAGTCAGAGATGATTTTCAGTGTTAATGCAATAAAAACAAAATGCAGAAGCAGCACATGATCTTCTCTAGCAGGGTGGAGGCCAAGCTTGGGCTAGAAAGCTCCCAGCTGCAGTGCACTTCCACAGGGTACAAGAGGATTATGACAAGCAGGGAATGAGCAAAAACATACAGAGCATTTAAGAGCAATTTCTATGAATTTGACAAAATCATTATTCCACTTCCTTCTCAGAGCAAAGCTTTTGCTGCCTAGAGGTCCTTTTTGTCCTAAAAAAAAAAAAAAAAAAAAAAAAAAGACCTCAAACTTGCAGTTTCTGAAAGGAAGCCAGTCCTAAGTTTCAAAACCAGATTAAGACTCTCTGTTCTTTGAGAAGTGCCATTCATTCAGATGGCCTGATTATACTGGTTCATAAAAGATTAGTGATAAATACAGTCACCAGATAAACAAATGTGAGCAAATGTGAGCTCAGCTGTGGGACAGTTAGATAAGACATGAGTGAACTGAAGGCTCAGAATTCTAGAACAGAGCTCCTAAAAACAGCATTTTGGGTGACTCTCGAGCAACCCACAACCCACTGCTGATGGCACCTATGTTAGTTTGCCAATAAGAAGTGCCTTTAATAGTGCAATGGCTACCAAACCTCTGTTATCACAGGACAGCCCTTACACAAAGAAGATTTCTCTGAATGTAAGAATGAATGTTTGCTCAGTTGAGGTTATCTAACTGGCATGTTTCGAGCATTTGACTGCGTTCCATCGAGATCTGATATAGCAGGAATGTTATAAAGCTGAAAGAGGCCACAGAACTGAAAGTATTTGTTAGTTTAGAGCCATCAGAGTATTATAACACTTTACTGACAGTGTTATAATACTATTATTTCAGATCGAGTTTTAGATGATGTTTGTTGTTTTCTGAACATAAGCTTATGGCACATTCAATCATAAAGAGACAAGCAAGAACACTAAACTAGATTTGCTGTTACAGTTTTTGCATTGCAAAATTAAACTGTCATATGGTGCAGTTATTCCATTAATTTACTGTTAAGAAGAACCCAACAGACTTTCTTGTAGTTGAAATGTAAACACATAAGTGGTTCCAATTCGAATACTATTTTCCTCTAAGAGAAGGTAGATCCTGGTGTTTGCTACACCTAATACAGTTCTGCAGTCTGCCAAATGTAAGTAGCAGCCAGCAGTTTTTTTGCCACTAGCTCTGCTTTAATAAGCAGCATCCCAGAAAAAAGAATTTTACACAGGACTTTTTGAAATTGGACATTACAATGTCAAAGAAGTCATTAATTTTGTTGCTACACGGTAAGAAGTGCTTAAGCACCTCCTAAAATCCAAATACCAGGTGGTCATTTAAGAACAGCAGCTCATTTCTAACTTAGGCAGGTTGAGTCTTCAGAATGTGAATAAATCATTAACAGGCACTGTCCACGGCCTACATGTATCTCTGGGCCAAAACATTGCTAATCATTAATATAAGTTTTCTCTGAAAACATATGATCTAATTCCCTTCAAGAAAGGGCTATTTTGGGAGCTACATAATCCACTTGTCTTCCAGGAGTCTCTTCAAGGAAGTGCACTCCTATGCACAGCCGGCATGATTCTTTATCCCTCATACCGAAAACCACATTAGATGCCTAAGTGGTCCTAAGAACAGCTGAATAGACCCAGTACTTTAGAGTTTGATGTAAAGATCTATTTTCCTGGCATTCCATTCCTTTCATAAATGCAGAAACTTACAACCTTTTAGTTGGTTTCATCTGAAAGGCAAAGGAAGAATTCTATGTTAGAAAATCTGACTTTCAATTTCCAGACAAATAACTGCTTTGAAAAACCTCACATAACTTGTTGCACTGTGCAAGGCAAAAAAGAAAAAAGCCTTCTATGGTCAGTTTAGTTTTATAAACTCCCCGTGGGCCTGCCTGTGCTGGATGATAAAGGTGCTCAGTGCAACTGCAAAGCTGAATAAAGAAGCTGCAGCCATGATTCTGTACTTGAGGAATTCACATGAGGCAGAGTACCTGGAACTAAACTCATCTCGCTCCTATAGCATGCTGCTGCCATGGCAACCCAAGTACAAGAAAGACCATCAACTCTTGCTGTCACTGACTCACAGTAGTACACAGGCTTCTCTATCACCCAGCACTGCAGACAAAAGATAGAATTCCTGGCGTTCCTTAATGCCCAGTATTGGTGATTAGGTAATACTTGGAGCAACCTAAATGCACTTAACTTAAATTCCCAACTGTCTGAGAATTAATAAGTACCTTCTTATTTGTCAAGTTTGCAGATTCCTTCCCTCTGTTGGGGCTGTCCACGTCAAAGGAGGCACTTGTCAACTCCTAGTGTTTATAACCCCTTGGACTAAAGGCACAAGGATGTGAAGTAACATTCTGCTCTCCAGAGCCAAGAAAGCTTTGTTTTCCCAGCACACAGTGATTGGATTCATAGCTTCTGAGCAGCTTCTGATATTAACCATTCCCAATGCCAACAGCATTTTGGATTATAATGATGCTGCAAGCACATTAAGGAAAAATGTCTTGGTTCCTTTCTTAGGGTAATGCTACACTTCATTAGCCAGCTTGGTGCTATTTTAAGCCTGTCCTGTGCATTAGTACCTTGTAGCAATGTCGTCATTTTCACCACCATCACCCCAGTATGTGTTTGGAAACCCATTCATCTTCATGTAATGATCTGGAGTCAGAGCAGATACGCCCCCAAAAAAGGTCTTGTAAGGTAGACTAAAAGAGAAAAAAAAAACCAACAAAAAAAGCATCAATATTGAAGCCTAATACATTTAACACATCTAACAATGTGATCCAAGTCACACATATGTTTTACAGACACTGTCATTACAATGCTAAAACCCAAAGCAGTAAACCCAGTGTAATTCCCATCATTCCCCACATTGTCCCCTGCCATCTTCCCCCACAGTAGACCAAAGTAAAGCTGGTTTCAAATTTCACATCTTGGGTCAGTTTAAAATACCTGCATCCTATCACATCATCTTCCATATGATCCAGTATTTCCCACCCTTATACTTTCATTCTTGAAGGAAAGTCAAACTAAAACCTGCCAGTTACTTACCAAGCTGAGCTAACAGTGTAACAGGGAACTACAGGCAAAGGAATTGTTCAAGATTGCATGCTCAGGTCAAGAATATCCTTTTCTAGGGAAGTCACTACTGCAAAACTAACACACAGAAAACCTCTTAAAAGTTCTATCTTTTACTGTTCCCATCCCTACTTTCTAAGCAGAAAGTGAACCAAGTAGAATGCATAAACAGAAAGCAAATGGAGGCACTTACATATACTGAAACTTATCCATGGCACTTGCCATATGCTTGGGATAGTATTCATCGCAAATGTAGAGGTTATAGTCATTCTCAGGTACTAGGTCAACATCATGCAGCACAAGGCAGTCCCAGTCTTCATCCTTCATGGCTTCCCGGACACCAACATTAAGTAACTTTGCTCGGTTAAATGAACCGGTCCCCACCTGGAAAAGAAAACCTGCATTTCTTCACCAAAACAACAAAGATGGTAACGCAATTAAAGATTTGTGTTAGTAAAAAAAGCCTTATTCAATTGAATTACACAGTAACGAATCAATACTGGCTGCAAATTCCATGTTCCCAACTCTGAAGATTTCACCCACCCTCTTCACAACATTCTCAACAATTGTCAGCTTTGCTGTGTCAGGGGCTGTATACACTGTTGGCACCTGAAGAAGGCTGACTTTCAAGAGATCCATAAGCCAGTCCTCAGGGGTACATCTGCACATCAACATGGTTGCCCTGACCACTGTTTATTAAAGCTTAGAAAATGAGAAAAAAAGATCTTGGTCAAACAAAAAAGCTTCTTCTCCCTCCCAATAAACTATCAGTTTTAATTCATGAATCCAAAACTTGCTCTCTCACCACCGATCTTTTGCAACACCAGTGCACCTCAGTTACAAAAAGCTGTTTGCCCTGCATAGGCTGCCCCTCAGCAGGGTCAAGCCAGATGTTTGTATTTGATACAGACTGAAAATATCCAACTTCACTTTAGCATTTAGTCTTAAGATTTCGCTCAGTAGCCACACTGACAAGCTACAGACAAACCACATTCAGCTCTCAAACAGATGAAAATAAAAGGTATCACTTAAATGACAACTTATCTCTCTAGAAGAAAATCCCCAACAGAACCAATCAATAGTGGAATGATGATCCTGACAAGTGTTACGATATTTCCATCATTAGCAGCCATGGAGGTGGGACAATATGTAACTGATCTCTTCTCAGCCCATGCATAAAACAGTATTTCAATACTAGAAGAGTCATATTTCATAGAATCATTGAATGGCCTGGCTTGGAAGGGACCTTAAAGATGACCTAGGTCCAAACCCCCTGCCATGGGCAGGGACACCTTTCACTAGACCAGGTAGCTCAGAGCTCCATTCAACCTGGTCTTGAACACTTCCAAGGATGGGGCATCCACAACTTCTCTGGGCAGCCTGTTCCAGTGCCTCACCATCCTCACAGTAAAGAATTTTTTTCTCCTATCTAATCTAAACATATTCTCTCTCAGTTTAAAGCCATTCCTCCTTGTCCTGTCACTATATGCTCTTGTAAAAAGTCCCTCTCAATCTTTTTTGTAGGCTCCCTTTAGGTACTGGAAGACCACAAGCAGGTCACCCCTAGGCTGTCTCTTTTCCAGGCTGAACAATCTCAATTCTCTTAGCCTTTCCTCACAGGAGAGGTGCTCCAGCCCTCTAATCACCCCGGTGACCCTCCTCTAGACTTGTTCCAGCAGCTCCTTCCTGTGTTGGGACCCCAGATCTGGATGCAGCACTCCAGGTGGGGTCTCACCAGAGTGGAATAGAGGGGCAGAATCACCTCCCTCAACCTGCTGGCCACGCTGCTTTTGGTGCAGGCCAGGACACATTTGGCTTTCAGGGCTGCAAGTTCACATTGCTGGGTCATGTCCACTCTCTCATCCAACAGCATCCCCAAGTCCCTCTTGGCAGGGCTGCTCTCAGTCTGTTCACCCCCAGTCTGTATTGATACTGACGGTTGCCCCGACCCAGGTGTATTTCAAGTTCAGAACTAACCCATAACTGGGAAGCTCAGCTGCACCACCAGGCACATTTGATTTAGATTTACCTGCTGAATCAAGTAGATAGTGTAACTGAGCTGCTGGCGCTGCAAGAAAGGATGAATGTAGTAGAGAAGATGGTGGAGGTACTTCTCCTGGTTCCTGTAGGCCACAAGGATGGCAGATTTGTAGCGGGCGAAGCAGTGAGGTGGCCTGTAGTGGCCACCAGACTGAACGAAAGGATTCTTTTTGATGATCATCCTTTCACTAGGGAGCATCCTGAAGGTGATGGCTAATGGACCAACTGTAAGGAGAGGCAGAAAAGAGAAACAAAAAAGGGTAAGATCAGTGATGTTTCTCAACTTTCATTCAGACCTACCAGATGAGCTACCTATGTTCACTACTTCACACACCAGCCCTACCACAGAGCAGTTAACAACGCCCACACAGCTGTGCCTACGGGAGGAATTTCACCACTGCCTGCTGGTCACCTCCCCAGGGCTCCACAGCGAGGGGGGCCGGGCTCAGTACCAGGATGGCACACTCCCTGCCAGGCATCCCGAGTCCTGGCACAGCCAGCAGGTCCCACTGGGCTCCTGCACGGCTTGCTCTTCCCTGGTATCGGCTCCCTCCTACAGTCTCGTGTTGCTTGGATGAGATCCTTGAATAATGTATTGACTGTAAGAATAGAGTTGAAGATTAATCAAGATGAACAGACACATCTGCTTTTGCTACCCATCTAGAAAATTCCTCTAAGCCTCTTTCAGAAGAGATTTGAGGACAAAGACGTCCAAATGGATATTCAGCAGGTCAGGGGAGAAATAGTTTAAAGCCTGGATGAATACAAGTACTTTAGGAAATGTTAGCTCTATCTTAAAAAATGTTTCAAGTTCAATTTGATGTTATAATCACATGCCACAGGGGCTGTATTTGCTATATTATTTCATTTTATACACTGTGATAAGTAGGCAGTACTTCAAAATGTTGGGAGAAGCAGATGACAGAAATGAGAAGGAAGAAAGGTGTTACATTTTCAGGAACAGGTGCAAGGTAGCACAAGAAACTACGTTTTGCTGTTCCTCTACTCAGCACCTCAATTTTAAATACAAAACATACTGAATATGTTCAACAGTTCTTACTTAATTAAAAACAATAATTTGCATTTTTACATGAATTCTTTCATTCTTTAGGTGAAAAAAGCTTGAAAAGTCACAAGTGAAAAAAGAATCAATTACCATTTTAACACAAATCTCACTGTATGATATAAATAAACAAATTCTACAATTATTTAAACGCCTGTCATCCTGGGTACTGAGAAAAGCTTCCAGAAGTAGCAGAAGAGTTACATTTATATACAAATCAGTGTGTCTTAATGATTTCCTACAGCTGTCAACTTCTAAGAAAATAAAGCACAAATGCAGAGCAACATTAAAATCTAATACTTTAAAGAACTAGGGAAAAACTTTCACCTAAATCATAATTACAAGCTGACAATTTCAAGTGACATTTCTATTCAACAATTCTCTGCAGACCATGCTACCAAAGGCAAAATATTTTTTTCACCAGAAGACTGTAAGGCAAGTTTGTTGTTGTTTTTTTTTTTAAATAGCTCTAAACGAGATTTTTTTTTTCCTTCCAAGTTCATATTTAATGCTACAGCTGACTTATTCCATGTCTTGTAAGTCTCAAACCACTGAAGTAAATTATTCTCTCTAAAAAATTCTGATAATGAAGCCTCAGAGAGGGCAAATGTTTAGGCCTGGTGCTTAGCAGCTTTCATTTGAGCAGGAAGAGGTACAGGTGTATTTTAAGACTAATTAAGCCGGTCCAGAAACTACTTCTTCCAGGTCATCCTTCATTCAAGTCTCTGCTACAATTCTAGTGAAAAACATAAAAATTAAGCCTGTGCTCACCCACATCCTGTTTAACTGACACAGAAGGAAGCAACATCCTCCACTGGTTTTGTGTGTTTGGGGTTTGGTTTTGGTTTTGTTTGTTTGTTTTGGGGTTTGGTGGTTTTTTTTGAGCAGTAACAAGGCTTAGGGACTAAATTTACTGTAAGGTTCAAGGTGTCCATTCAGAACTGGGAAATGTTTTGCTACTATGTGGAAGTTGTTATACATCACATTTCTGATGGGCAAAGGAACATACAAATGGCATTTCCTGAAGGTCAACTCTTAGCAGCCACTGATCTCATTCCTCATGGTGTCAAAAAGGTCTAGCAACTGTGAATCCCACTTCATGGGTTTTATTGGTTGGTTTCTATTTGTTTTTAAAAAGAAAACCTGAATTTTGCTTGTTGGCAAGATCGTGCAACAGCTGACTCTTAAGTATCACTTTTCAGTCCTTCCCCAAGCACCTAAAATGCAGGGGAATTTGATTTTGACTGCATTACCCTCAGCAGGAAACTGGAGTACATTGTCATATATTTGTACCTGAAACAGAAGGGTAGTTCTTCAGAGAATCATGCTGTGGGCCCATGAATCTAGGTCACATTTACAGTTAAGATTTTATGACGTTGTCACCTACTTCTATGCATACAGTTTCCTTTTCTGCCTTTAAGACCCCCACGTTTCAGTCCAACAATGTTTTTAACTTGTAGTTTATATTGCCTTTTAGATCTGTGGACTCCCTGATTATCAGATCTTTTAACTAAAGCACCATTAATCATGGATTTTATGACAACTGGAGCTTGATAAAGAAATGTTATACTCAGGGATTTCAACTATAAATCACAGCTCCAAGGAAAGTATAAAAAAGGGAATTAATCCCTTCCACAAAGGCAGGATTTTGCTTTCTATAAAACAATTAGGACTCTTTGAATTGCAGAGTAAGATTCTGCAGCGATAATCCTTAAATTAAAAAAAAAATAAATCTAAATTTGAGTGTTAAAGGGTATGAGTAAGATAACATGCAATAGTTTCACTCCTGTTCTCTCCTTCCACACCCAAGCATACCATTCAGGAGGGTAGTATCTGCATTTTCCAGTTTTTTCAAGATGTCATTTCTCCCATGCTGCCTGGTTCCACACCTCAAACAACTCAGCTCAGAAAGTGAAACTAGTATACATTAAGGAGAAAAGAAATTAGTGTGACTTATATTTCCAAAATCTCTGGCTGCCCTACACTCCTTGGCTACAAGCTAAATTCTGGCTCTCATGTATCCTTTCTGCCCAACTAACAAAAGACTAATGCATCTTAATCCAATTAAATCCCAAATGTGAACAGAGCAGTTTCAGGCTGGACCAAAGAGGGGAAAATAAAACTGCTAAAGCACAGCTTTTAGAAAGGAGGAAAAACCCATCTTAGACGTACCAGAAAGCACAGGATCTTAATTCAGGCAAGGTACAGAGCCAAGACCCTGAACTGTCCAAGCAATTTCTCCATAGGCTGGTTCCTAAGCTCTTTCTGTGCCTGTACCATCACATAGAGGGTGTTTAATTAATATGAAATTCACTGTGTACAGCTCACGATTCCCTGTCTGCATTGTTGTGCCAGTAACAACACACTCCCTGTTTGCTTTACTTTCTAGGCAACACATTTGTCTGTCAGGGATCTCTTGATTTTGATCAGATCCATCCCACCTTAAGAAAGCAACTACTTGACATCTAAACTCCTTGCTACATGTTTAGAGTTCGCAGCTCTAATTACCAAGCTCAACCGGAACAAGCAGAACTTACACAAGCCAAGGAAACGCGAGAGGTAGCACGGATGAATGCTGCACTGAGATAATGCAGCACCACACACACGACATTAACAGAGTCATATTTGTGTAATTCCAACACTGCTTGAAGAAAAAAAAAAAGCAGACCAACAGCTTTAATTTAAGCGTAGGTTTCTAATGACAGAATACAAGGCTGCCTCAGTGGCAACTGGAAATAGATCTCAGCATTACCACCTTTTTATTTTTCCTTAAATCCAAGAGAAGAAACTCTGGTAGCATTAGAAAACATAGCAGGAGCTACTTATTACCACAACAGATGGTCACGCTCATGAAAAGGTTATGACAGATGGGAGTGAAAGGCAGTAACTGCTGTAAGAAGGGCTTGGAAAAAAATCCTTCCATAGCTGGAGCGAGTTATAAACAGCAGAGTTACAGACAGAACTTTCAACTATTAAAGTTCTCAAGGGTCAAACCAACTTGTTCAGCACATCCCATGCATGAAGCAAGGTACCTCTTTAAACCAAAATAAAAATAATAAAAAAAGCCAGTTCTTCTAAGCATCAAACTTCTTCCTGGTAAGAGGACAAGACGGACCAAAACACGACATCTTGCATGCAATGTGAGAAAGTCAGATTTTGAATTTAAATGCTACTTCATTATGTTTAAAGAAGTACAACTCTAGCATACAAACACTTCACTTTTTCCAAAAACAGAGGAGGAGGAAACAGGCAACCAGTTATTTGTGTAGAAACTTTAAACTTAGAGGGAACTCGAGTAATTTATTCATGATATTAATGAAGACACAATACCTTGTGCAATGCTTTTCAAGTTGTGATGACAAAAGGTCCAATGTCTAGACTTTAACCAGATGTTAAAAAAGGACCACTAGTCAGCAAGAGTCTAGTTCCTCTAAGGCAGAGATGATTAGCAACTATACTTGAATTCTTATTTCACAGCCCTGGAAGAACCAAAATGCTGTAGATTGAGGAGGCAGGAGAAAGAAAGATGAGCTGCAAGCTGATTTACATTTAAACAGTTATCAAAATGATCTACTATATATATATAAATGGAGAAAGTGCTGCACTTCATAAAAGCCCTGATGCAGAAACCATTTAAGCCATTTGGCATCCTTCCAGTTACTTTAACACGCTTTGGAGTGGGCACAGTGACTTATTACCAGCTCTGACTTGGAGACTGGAGTCCTCGAGAATTGATTCAAAATCTCATTTAACAGAGTTTATGAAATAAATATTAAAAGGCATTGGTCTCTCTGATATAACACTTCCAAGAGAGATTCTCATGAGAGATAACAACCATTCAAGATGTATATAAAGTATTTATATATCTATTCATATGTGCCCATTACATACAAAACAAAGGGCAAACTACCTTGCAAAGTAGCATGTTTCTCAGTTAAAAACAAAGCAAAACACCCAGAAGACGCTGGCATACAGAGATACCAGAAGGAATAATTTACTTCCTATATTTAAAAGGATATATCAACTGAGCAAAAGTTAAGCTGAAGCAGAGTGCTCATTTTTCTTAAGCTGAATCTGTGTCAGTGCTCCAAATTCCTTGTGTTTCACCACAACAGTGGTTCATATGCTCCACTCAAAATTTTTCATGCAGCAAAGCCTCCACAATTACTCTGCCTCGTTTGCCTCTTACTTTTTTTCTCCCAGCCAACTGACTGTTTCTGTCTATGACTAACATTATGTTTTCATTTTAGCTCTGCAGTACCACATGCAGGCCAATCCCGTTCCCAGCACTCTCAGGGATGGGCAGAAGAAGTCTTAAAAGGACTTCATAGCTCTAGGAGCACAGATTAGTGTAATTTTACTCTGCACCTGCCTCCTCCGTATTTGTCACTACTCCCGCTTATCTGATGGTTTGCAGACAGGCTGCACAGAATTGCATCTAGTTTTGTTTGGTGTTCTTTTTTTTTTGAGACCAAAGCTGTCTCATTTGACTCTATGACAGCGGATTCTCATCAGTAGTGGAGACAAATAGGGTGCAATCACATTTCTGCTGTGATTTTTCAAATAAAACAATTCAGTCTGAAACAAGGTATTGTAGCTTCCCAGAAGAACTGATGGTCTGAGTGCACTAAGACCATTAGAGCTGGCACCTGTGCAAAAAGGCTCTGTGCTATCAGGATTTCAGGATTTACTTAGTAGAGCTGTTTCCCAGGGAAATGCTGAAACATGTACCCAAAAGTTATCATACATGTTCATCATACATACTACATGTATTTCATTTACCTACAAACAACAGAGGAAGGAAGAAAACTTCTCAAAACAGCAGGCATCGTTACAAAGATGGTAGCGTAAAAAGGCCCATCCAAAGGGTCCCAGCAGAGTTCTCTAACACAAGTAAGCAACTTGACACAAGAGCACTGGCTTCCCACAAAACTTCCACATGAGCCAAGATCAGACATTTGCTCTTAATGGGTTCCATCTGTGGTGATCAGCTGTCCTAGAACAGCAGGGCAACTACTAAGCAGCGGTCCAAGGCTAGTTATACACAGCATTTAGATATGCAGAAAACCCATGCAGTTCAGAAAAGCCAGGCAAGAGTAATGTGCTACACAGTAGTCTAAGAAATTGGTGGCCCCAAACCAGCTGCTAAGTGCATGCTGGCAGAATCACCATTTCCTGACATGCATCACCACTTTAATATCACTACACTTGCTGTATAGGTTTGACTTTGTATTTCCTTAAAAATTCTCAACTGTTTTAGTAGCGCAACAGCTGGATAAATGCTGCCTTTAGGATCAGCTCTAATGCAGTTCTAGTGTAAATCCAAACTAATCTGTGACCAGACTTTTAAGTATAATGGAGAAGTTTCTAAGTCTAAAGGATGTGTAACAATCACAGGCCAGTAAGTTCACCATGAAGACCAAGGTGCCAAGCTATATCCTCATGTAAATGATATTTAAATTCAACTTAATCAATTTATATTGAACTACAGGCTTGATATAAGTTTGAGACAAAGAACACAGAAATTATGGTGAGTCAGATGTCAATATTATGCAGCTGCCGAATCGCTGGCACATTTTATTCAGGGCTGCCAAGAAAAAAAAAGTATTACTAACTTGATATTATCACCACACACTGTTTTCACTCTTGCTCTACAATCTCAACATCTATGTAGCCAAGCCCTTAATACTGGAAAGTTTATAGGTCAGTAAAACACTTCTCCTCGCATAACCAAAAACACCCAAGTTAGCTAACGGGAGAAAATTCTGTCAGGGTAAGTATTACGTGAGCACACGGGTTCCAAAGTGGAAAAGTTTGAAGCAGGTACGACTCACACCTGTGAAGCATTCGAGGTTGCCGTGAACACCCCGTGTTTGTACCTACCAAGGACCGGTGACCGAGCGGAGCAGTACGGCATCGCCTCCTCACGGGGAGCCCGGGTGAACAAGCTGAGGTTTGTGTACACATCGTGCGGCTTCGAGTAATCCACAGCCTGAGGCGAGTCCGAAAACCCGCGAAACACATTCGAAGGTCCACCTCGGTAGAGGATGAGGATAAATATCGCTTGGAAGACACACACAAACAGCAGAAAACAGTGATTTTCCACACGGGAGAGGGACATAGCTTTTAGCCCATGCTCCGGGATCTGGCCGGTGAGGAGCTGATCTGCCTTCCACGAGCTGCCGTCCCACGCTTTGGGCTACATCGCTGAGCAGACCTTCTCCTTCTCCTCCTCCTCCTCCTCCTGTTCCTCCTCCTCCAACTTTCTGAGGCGGCAGCGTGCTCTCCTAGCGCGGCTTCGTCAGGACGCCGAGAGCCAAACCTCCCGTTCCGGCCGCGAGCTGTGCCAGGCGGGCTGGTAGAGGGTCCAGAGTGCCCAAGGCCACCCCGAGCAGAGCCCCGGGAGCAGCGGCACGGGCTCTCTGTGCGGTACGCACAGGCTCAGCGCCCGCCCACCCCGCCCGCCTCGGCCAGACTACAGCTCCCAGCATTGCAGAGCCGGGGCGGGCGGTGCTGCGCGCGGGCATCCTGGGAGGTGTAGTCCGGCCCCAAACAGTGCCCGCCGACTGGGCGGCACAGCGTGTCGTCTCCTCGGTCAACACCCGACTGCTGTTCCCACTTTAAATTGGTCAGGGAGAGGTGAACGAAAATTTAGACATCGGAATGGACTGCCCAGGGAGGTGATGGAGTCACTGTCCCTGGAGGTGTTTAAGGAAAGAACAGCTGTGGCACTTAGTGCCATGATCTACCTGGCATGGTGGTGCTTGATGTGACTTGATGATCTCAGAGGTTTTTTCCAACTTAATTGATTCTGTGATTCTGTGAAATGGGTACACCTCTGCCTGTGCCTGAAGGAACTACAGCATCACAGCCCCACTGTGAGAGGCCTCCCGCCATGGCCTCGCTGTCCCTAAGAATTTTGGCTTTTACACATCCTCTCTTCACTGGCTGATTTTGTAAAGAGATGGGGCTTCTTACAAGGTTGCGCTGTCAGTCATCTGCCTGATCTTGTGTGCCCGTTTTCACTTAAATGTGGCAGAGGAAAAGACATCTTACAGATATTAAATTCCTACAAGGCTCCAAAGAAGAGCCAGAGGTTGGGTTTGCACTGGGGAGAGAGTTAAAAGGAAATCTGTGCCTGTGAGAGGGGGCAGCACCCTGAGCTCAGCATCCTGCTCCAAGGTATAGCCACTGTCCAGGCAGCCAGCCCCTGTGAGCGATCCCGGATCAGGCACAGCACTGAGCACCAGGACAGGCTGCCCAGATAGGCTGTGAGTCTCCTTCTCTGGAGATATTCCAAAGCCACCTGGACACAATCCTGACTAATGTGCTCCAGGGGATTCTACTTGAGCAGGGAGCTTGGACCAGATAATCTCCAGCGATCCCTTCCAACCTTACCCCTTCTGTGATTCTGTGAAGCATGTGCTGCTGTTTGTCCTCCAAATAGGGTGGCATAGGAAAAAGATGGGGGGACAGGTTGACAGTACTTTTATGGGGAGCTGGGAGTACTCTTCCTTCAGACTTGGTCTAAGATATAGGGCATATGTCTACAGGAAACGACCTCAGTCATTCTCCTCCACACAACAACTCATTATTCAATTTAAGTGGATTGCTTAAGGCCTGGATGCAAATTGTCATCATTTCACATTTAATTTAAACTTAATCGGTTTTTAAAATAAAAAATGTACTTAACGTTTCTTTTCCCTGGGCAAAGTCTTTCTTTGCTGAAACCCACCCAACGCTGCTGCTGCAAAGCTTGCTTTTCTTGCGCACTGCTGTGAGTCTCTACTGTTTACATTCTCCCTGTGCCATTCTCTCCACGATCACGGCAAACCCACCCTGCTTGTCTTCCCCTCCATAAAACAAAGCAACGCTTGCTGTTCCATGGTAGCTCCAGTGAGTACAATGCCATGGACAGGAAAAAATTAATCTCTGTGTCAGCTATGAAACAAACAAAGGAACTAAGATTTTCGTGGTATGACCTGGAGTTGCAGACAGCAATTGTTTTAGGGCATAGTACTGCTTTATATTTTGCTTGTGATCCTTCCTTGGGTCACAGTAGGAAATCACAACGTAGGAGCAACTTGGACAAAGCATGTCTGCCTCCATCTCTTTTGGAGAAGGGAGAAGCTGGACCCACTAGAACTGTCCCACACCAGTGGCTCTGCTAACTTCCTTGCAGTCAGGGCTTAGTTTTAAAAATTGTCACCCTGTGCCAGTTTTTGGTCAGAAAAATCAGGTCAGATGGAAAGGCAGAAGCCTACCCCAAGCTGTATTTTTACCTGTGCATATATATGCTCTCAAGGCTGGAAAATTAGCATACAGCTTGCCAGATCAACTGTTTGCAGAGGAGCCAAACAGCACGTGTTTCAGTGCGGGCTGAGAGAGCTGAATGTCCAGGAATGTCTCCCTTGGGAACCTTCCAAAACCAAACGCAGTTCATCTCTTTCCCCTTCAATCATCAACACCAAAATGGGTAGAACATAAATCCACCAAGACCTGTTTTCTCACAAGAGAACAAACAAGTCAGGTCTGGAGAGCAAAGTACAGATCAGAACTTCATGGTGCCAGCAGGTCTGAGCCTCTCCAAGGTCACAATGCTCCTGTTTTAAACAGAGCTGTGGAAAGCTAGGGTGTGTTTTGAATTAAAAGTGAATTATATTGCTTAAACGCAAAAAAAAAAATATAATGTAACTGTCTCCACTGAAGCATGGAAGGGAGGTGGTGGCCATTTTAGCAACCTCTGCATAGTGATTTACTGAGGGCAGCAATGGAGGGAAACAATGTGAGACTGGATCTGTGAGAAACAGGCACTGGGCTGTCTTCACAATCAAAAGTCTGCCTTTCTCATTTTCACATGTCTGCCTGAGAAATTAAATTGAATGCATAAAAAAAAAAAAAAAAGACAAACACCGTCTTCAACAGAGCTTGAAATTAAGTTTGTGCGAGAGCCTCTGAATTGTCCCAGGGGAGGGGGCTTTCCCTCCCTCCGAGTGCAGTTTTACCTCCAATCAGCCCCAAAAGTGATGAGAGACTGAGAGAAGTACTTTGCCATTTAATAAGATTCATTCTTGCTTGCTCTTTTTCTCTCCACCTCTCTTCTATGCCCTGTCTCATGGGGCCTGCATTAGATCCCTGCAGCAAAGTGACTTTGGGGAGCTTTGCCTTGAAAATGCAGGGCCCAAGGAGGGGAGGAGCAGTTGGTGTAACAGAGCAATACCAGAGCAGATGCTCCTATGGTGTTGGTCAACGTGCCTTATCCACCGCCCTCCCAGTCCCCAGGGTTTCCATAAAAGGAAGAGGAAGGTAGAATTAGTTGTTGTATAAACATTGCAGAAACTTTCAGCCACTACAGCCAATCAAAGCTGTCCCTCTTTTTTGGGAGTGACTGTTTTCTAATGGAGTAGATGTTTCAGGTTCTTTGGCCGCAGAAGTTCTTCCTCAGCCTTTTGCAGGATCTTGGCTTGTGAACTTCACATTGTACTTTAAGCAGCATCTTTGTGAATGTGATTTTTTTTTATTACACAAATATGAATTTGCCTTGTGCTAAATTTTCAGCAAGGCTTCCTCAGAAAAGTCTTAAAACTTCTTCCACTTTTCTGGGAGGTGGGTGCCCTGCTGGTGTTAAAAAACCCAGATAACTGATGTCATGTACCTTGACCCAAAGCCCGAGCAAATCAGTAAGAGCATTAGAAACAGGACCTGGATCTGCTAGCTTCTTTCAGGATTCTGGATTAGCCAACAGTGGCTTCCTGTAAAATAGACATTTCACTGAGAGAGCTTGTCTTCCCCTCTCCTTTGTGATGGAGAACCAACAGCCTGCTCAATGTTTTGACCACCACTCACTCACTTCTGAGTCATAGTCAGTACCTTTGCAGAACAATCTCAGTAGGGATGGTCACCACGTCCAAAATGACAGCTAGAGATGCCATAAGATTATAGATTTCAGGTTATATTCTCCTGTCTCCTTTCTTCTATATCTCCATAATGCAGGCATCAGTCTCAGGGACCTGAAATGTTTTTGCTTGATTTTCTCTTGTAACATTTTGGTCAGATGAAGACTGAAATGAGGAGCCTTGAAATGAGAATAACTGAAATGGATACATTCACCATTGCAGAGTCTGCTGTGTTTTCCTGGAAAAGGAGTAAGCACTTAGGCTGCAGACAAGACAACAGTACAATATCATACTATTCACATTGTATTTAATAATGCTCTAGTACCATTCAATATAAATAAATAACCATTTAAAAAGTGCTTTCTTGACATTCTCTTTCTTTCATCACTAGTATTTTCTGCAACAGGAAAGGTTAGTAATATACATTGGTTGGTGAATTGGATGAATCTCAGAGAACATGAATATCAGGTACTAATACACTAGTAAAAACCAGGCACTGGGATGCCCTCTCTTGTTTAAATACTTCGGACTTGATCTGCAGCTTCCCTCCTTACTGCGTTCACTCGCCCTGAAGCCTGTAACTCTTGACAGCTGCTTCTCTCCTGGGCTCTCCCACCCATCTCTGCTAACAAACAGGCATCTTAGCTTGTGGTGCCTGTTATTCACCTACCCTTAGCTGATACACCTTGGCCAGCAGCAGTCCTTGCTGTCCTTAGGCTGCTCTACAGGGAAGAGCATTTGTGCTGAACAGGTCTAAATGTCTGCTAGCCTGGAATATCAGCTGCATACATTCACGCTGTCCATACAAGGTCTTGGTTCTGCACAATTTAGTGACAGACAGAACTTCTTGATTCACAGAAAGTCTGCTCCCCAGGGCCAGGCCGGGGCAAGCATGGAGTTGGTGTGGTAGGGCTGGTCTTGAGAGCTGAATCTGACCGACACTGAACTGACAGTGTAGTACATACAGGAATAGTAATTTTGCTTTTTTCTGGGGGTGTAGAAACAAAAACTCACTAAAAACATGTGTGTGGTGGTATGTGTTGCAAAGAGAATAGATCCTTGGTATAGACTCTCACTGTCAGTGTCAAAAGCCTATTGTAGTGCCTGTGTGAGATTAAAGGCCTGAGAACTAATTACCATTCCTCCTCCTGTTCATACGGGCAGAAACCCTGCCCATCTCAGAGGAGAAAATGGAGGATCATAAATCAACTCCTTTATTCCCTCACTCTTGCTCATTCATTGAAATCACAAAGAAGGGGACCTAATCTTGGTTTAATGCTGGGTAGAAGCTTTGAGCCCTGGTGGCAGGATGGGTTGGCAAAGCCCACTGGAGTGCAAGCCCTGTTACCTTCTGAAGAGGACAGGACAGAAAGCTCTGAGAAATGTGGAGTGAAAAACATTTTGTGGATGCTGGGCTTCCTTCATGCTATCCAGTGACAGTATGCCAGACCCTTGCTCTGTAAGGACCTTCCTAGGGACCAGACACTGTTTTTTCAGCCCATTTAGTATTTCTTCATACTGAGAC